TGTGTAACTGCATTAGTTCGGGAATGATCAAATCGTCATCACTCAGGGGTGACGCCGACTCGATAATGGCTGCTCCCGCGACAGGTGAAACCATATCACGGGTGTCAATTGTCTCTTTTGAGACAAACAAACCTTTCTCGGCGAGTTCAGCAGTTTCCACTGCCTTCTGCACCAACTGTTCGAGGGTAGCGTCCTTCGACATCTTTTTGGGCACAACGACACCGAACTTTTCTCACAAGAAGCACAAAAATTTTCGTCCGCACGGGTTAACGGTCGACACGAAAAGAATGTGCCTCGTGGCTATTTCACAGGACTTTCCGGAAATCCTGAGTGGGGGGATAAGGGCTGATCTCAATTAAATAGATCGCCACAGGTGGTTCCCCCCAGTGACCCCTGACCGATATTTACCTATCGGCGCGCTCTTTAAATGCCTTCGATGACCTGTCCATCATTGGCATTTAAACTTTTCACCCCCCATGTAATGACCCGTCAGGTGGAGTCCTCTGGTGAGTGAAGAGATTACTAGTCATTGCCGTAGTCGGTAATGTCATTCACTCCGGGCTCTTCCGTTATCCCAGGAGTGTCTTTTCCGTCGGATGGCGCCACCAACACGATTGAAGCATGACTGGGCTATTCCATCGGGAAAACTAAAAAAAAATCAATTTTTCGGTGTCTAGAACACTTTCCTGACACTCCGAAATTGTCCGCTCGTTCTTTCTGCCCATTTTGTTCCCCGGAGCGGAAAAGCGATCGAGACCTTATTTTCGCGAGAAAATGCGATCTTCTCCTCGGAGAAGGGCTTTCTCCCCTCAGTCCCGAACTTTTCTGTTTTCCTAGGGAGAAGACAATTCCATCTTCCCCGTACGACTCTCCCCCGGGTGATGAGGAGGGCGATGTACCAGTTCGATGGAAAATCCTCCCCTTCCGGCAAATTACTATTCGAAGGGATGATGTTTATTATCTTTTAAATAATAAATCCCTTGTACGTGTTACATGAGGTAACGATTCTCTTCCCACTGTTAGGGGTGAGTTCTTTTCCAAAATTTCCTTCTGAAAGCACCTCCCCACGCCCTCCAGGTGACCCTCCCCCGGGTGATGAGGAGAACCGCCCTTGAGGCGCGGAGAAACCCTCCCAAAAATTACATGGACGGCGTTTCGGAAAACTTCTCGTAGAACTTTCCGGTTGGTTATCACTCCGATAACA